AAAAGCTGGGGTGCTGGGACAAGAGTTCAGAGCCGTTTCTACCCCCAAGGCAAACAACCCTGCGCGCAACGCTACACTGTCACATTCGAGTCATGGTTTATCTTCCTGCAACAAAGTCAAGCGAGGCAAGGAAGATGGAAAAGAAACGTCTCTCGTCACCTTGTCGTCGCAACCCGAACAACCCTCGTCCTAACCCCGAGGAAAATTCTCGTCTCATGTCGTCCTTAATCCTAACGACCTTAATCCTAACCCCGAGGAAAATTCTCGTCTCATGTCGTCCTTAATCCTAACGACCTTAATCCTAACCCCAAGGAAAATTCTCGTCTCACCTTCTAGTGAGAGAGGTGAGCAGCTGGGGGATCCAGGGGATCCAGACCCACTCGGGCAGGGTGCGGCCGTAGGTCTCTAGGGTCCTCCCCAGGGTGGACTTTTCGTCGTCAAGGCTGAGCAGCCACAGCACGCGAGACATCATCAGCCTTGCGCCGGCCGAGTTGTGGTTGATGGCCTGAGTTCGGGCACCATCGCGCAAGGCAAACGCAAAAATAGTTTTTGGGGGGGTTCAAAGTTCAAAGACGAAGAAAAAAAACGTCGTCGTTTTATCGAACCAACACGACGGAAGTACGGGGGGGGGGAAGAGGGGGAGTAGCTCCTTCGTTATAACGATATAATAGTACAACAAAGCTGCGAAGGGATGGCTGGACACTATGGCCTTCTTCGAGAATGAGTCTACCAAAAACACCACGGGAAGGCAGCTCTTGTGGACCCAAACGCCACCAGTAAGAACGAGATACCTGGCAACGTATCGCTACATCGTACAATACGCGTACCTGGGCTGCCATTTTCTGCGGGGGTACGGAGCCATCGAATCTAGACGACAATACTGTAGTCGTGGCGAATCAAAAAGTAAAGTAGTCTGTTTAGTCGACAGCTGGACAGGCCAATCCATCATCATCGTCCTCTTGCATACATGCCGCCCAGTACATGCCGCCCTGCACCTTCGTGCACGTGCGAAAAAACATGACCCAAGAACACATGCAAGTGTCAGAGGAACGTACACATCCGGAGTCCGCAAACGCACGCATCACGCACCTGCAGGTAGCACGCCATCGCCTGCACCGCGCAGTGGACCTTGGTCTGCTCGGCGAAGATTCCGTCGCAGTACCGGGCCCAGGAGTACCAGCCCTTCGCGAAGTCTCCGGAGATCTGCAAAAAAAAAAACACGAAAAAACATGTGATTGTAAAACAAAGTAGGTGGCGGAAGCTTTCTCTCTCAATCACACCAATCACCACAACACCGAATACGACGAGGATCAGGGACGAAGAAACAACAGCTGCAACTATAGCTGCTACAACATCACCACCACCACCACCACCACTACCACCAGCAACAGCAGCAGCAGCAGCAGCAGCAGCAGCAGCAGCACAATAAAACGACGGCCACGCCAACAGCAGCACAACAATACCACAACATTACCACCACCACCAACAGCAGCACCAGCAGTAGCAGCAGCACAATACAACGACGACCACGCCGACAGCAGTACAACAATACCACAACATTACCACCACCACCAACAGCAGCAGCGGTAGCAGCAGCGGTAGCAGCAGCAGCAGCAGCAGCACAATAAAACGACGGCCACGCCAACAGCAGCACAACAATACCACAACACTACCACCACCACCAACAGCAGCAGCAGCAGCAGCAGCAGCAGTAGCGATACGGTAACGACCAACGACGACGATGACGCACCTCAACAGCGTAGCTGTACAACACCTCTGCGTCACCACCACCACCAACAACAACAACAAGTACAACATACAACGACAACACACCTGAACAGCGTGGCTGTAAGCGTTGTTCGCCTCCTGCTTGGCCCCCAGGCTCGTCAAGAACACCCCCTTTAGCCGGAACAGCTCGGCCTTCTGCTTCGAGTTGAAGAACTCCAGGTTGGTGTTGTTGATCATGTTCAGACCACCTCGGTGTTCACGAGGCTGCTTGTGGCAGATAATGATCTGCTCGCGGAGCTTGTTGAAGGCATCCTGATTGGTTCAAGAGCGCACGGGGGGGGGGGGGGGGGGCGGGGCGGGGGGGGGGGGAAATTTTTAGGCCCTTTAAAAAAAAAAGGGAAAAAGGGGGTTACCCGGAAAATTTTNNNCGGGGCGAACGCGGGGGGGGGGGGAGGTTTGAGGCCCATCAAATACAACAGGGTAACAGGGGGCTACCCGGAATAGTCTGCCGCGGTGTCACAAGGTGGCAAAAAAAAAAAAAAGCGCACTAAAGTCACGTCCAAAAGATAGATCGTGAAACTCACAAAACACACAAGCTCAAGAGGCCTGATAACGAGAGATCGAGATCATCGAGTGGGGAAGAGAGAGGCGGAACGGGGGCGGCGGGGGGGGGGGGATCTGAGCCACCTCTCAGCTAGCCCTGACGGCGACAATAGACCAAGCCCAAGCAACCATCACCGCGAAGCAAACGCACCTGTACGTCCATCGTCCCCCCCGAGTAAAGCTTCCCGAGCGAGTTGAGGCACACCTCCCTGAGCCCCTGCTTCCTCCCCGTGTGCGCCAGCTTGATCATGGTCCAGGGGGTGTCGTGGAGGCTGGCCAGCAGCCCGGGGTCCCCGTCCGCAAAGTTGGAGGTGATGATGCGGAACACCTTGGGGGGGGGGGGGGGCCGGGGGGGGGGCCCCATCCAGGGCGGGGGGACCCGGGGTTTTTAACCCATTTCTGGGTTTCCTCCCCAGTAAAAACCTCCCC